GGCCCTCCCCAGACCAGAGCATAGCTCCCAACCAAGCCCAGGAGGCCTCGGGGACTTACACGGTGGCGGTTCAGGAAAACCAGCGCGCTCGGCAAAGGCTCCAGGTTGATTTGGGGCCTCCAGATCTTCTGGCTTCAGGAACTCATCCCGAAGGTTACAAGCCTCATTGCATTCCAATTATTTGCGGTTGATGCCATCACCCGAGGCCCCGCATATGCACTGCTCGCGGGTGTCTCAACCCGCATCCTTCAAGCGAGTGCGTCCACGTGGATTGGGCAAGGTAGGTCAGGGGGAGATTGATGTAGGAGCTCGGCATGTACTTGCAGTCCAGTGCTTGCTGGGCGTGCGAGGTATCGACTGCATCAACTCATCTTCTTTGCGGCGTGGCTGGCGAGATCCTGCTGCCAGGCGCCCTTTAAGAAATTGGCAAGCCATGTGGGAGAGGTGGTGGTGAGCGGGAAATTCTCCCCAGTCTGGCTGGTGAACGTGGGGGGGGCGTGGCCGGGTCCACCAAATCCTTCTAAGGCTCATGCAGGTAGTTCCCAGACCCCCCTGACGTTCCCCCAACATTCTGCCGGTGCTTCGATGACATTGGCAACTAGTTGGCGACGTTAAGGGAGAGAACCAGGCCTTCTCGTAGCTCTGGGAATGCGCTAAACCATTGGGCTCCAATGAATATTGGGCCCCCAAACCAAAGCGCCACGTAAGGTCCTGCAGGAGGGTCAGAGAGGTTGTTCGAGCGAGTACCACACTTCGAACCAGATATCTTGAGGATCAAGTTGCGGGCATCCTGGAGCTCCTAATCAGATAGCCCCAATAACTTCAGCCCCAAAGTAACCAGCTCGCTGTCAACCCGCATTCCAGATCTTCCGAGCATCATGACCTGCAAATCTGAGCCCACGAAGCCGTCGCAGGCGGGCCTTGAGCTAGGCCAACTTGCCTCGCGGCGTATTCCTGGCCTTGTTCCTCAGTCTGGCACGTGCAGCAAGATCTACACTGAAGTTCGTGGCCGCTGGCTCCTGGTGGCTAGCGGTTGGGCCCGCCCATTCTGCAAGCTTGGTGGCCAGGTCGGCCTGTTTCGCGGGTGTCGACACAACGCCAGCATCATCGCGGGTGGCGATCGCACATTTCAGAGTTTGGTCAATCGATTGATGAATGTTGGTTGAGGCCGTGACTATCATTGATGAGTTCATTCGGATTGGTGTTGTGGTTTGCCAGGAGAAATTCATGCATCACAATGGTCAATTGCACGCGAGGGTGCTTGGCCGACCATCTGTCGATGGGCTGTAAACAGTACTGCAGCACCAGAAAGGTGGCTGCCCACCATACTGATGCGATCACCCTCTGCGGGCACCCAGCTGGCAACGCAGATGAGCGGGTCGCAACTGTGCGGGGCGCCTGATGTTGACGGCCAATGAGGACAACACGGGGGTCGGAGAAATTTTGTTTTGTCAAAGCCAAGCTTGTCCAGAGAACTGGTAATGAGATACATCCCACAGATCCAGAAAAAAGCTGTGCTATCATCCAGGAATGCGCCTTCAGCCTGAGTCGACCGCCCAAACCACCCCCCAGGCAACCCTTGCCCGGCTGGAGCGCCAGATGACGCCCGTGGTTCGAAGCCTCCCAATCAAGAAACTCGAACTTCCTGTGCTTGCGCAGACCCTCCTGACCTGGGGTGGGGCCTGCTCTGTACGTTTGCAATTATTTCATTCGGGTCGGGAAGACGGCGACCCTCTCGATGGCCCCGAGGGGCCTGTGCAAAATATTCGATTGGGCGTTGCTGGAGAGGCTGAGGTGTCCAGGGCGAACCCCATCTTAAGCCCCGGCAGTGGCTGCGCTGAAAGAACGGCTAGAACGACGCAGCTGCTTTGGCGCGATCGGCTCGAGGTCGCGGCCACGTTCCGCAGCTTCTTGAAGCCCTGGTTCCTGTGGGTCGGCTTTCCATTTTGGGAAGGGCGACGAAGTTGTTCTGCCCCCAGCAGATCGCTGGGGCGACCTGACCAACGTCCCGGCTGAGGTTTCCAAACCCGGCACAGTTGCGAGGAGGCGAGCCGGTCGGACCAACGAGGGGCCCACCCCGCCCCATCCCACCCCACCCCGCGAACGATGGGCCCTCCCCACCCAGAGTTCCCAGGCTGTTTTCTAATCTAGACGGTCTCTCGAGACCTCGCGATCCAGAGCTGGAGAAACGACGCTGCTGAGCTGGAAATTTGGCTCCGTGAAACATCTAGAACGTTAGCCTGGGCACATAGCATGCTCTTGAGCAAGGCCTGGGACCCGATCACTTGCTCAAGACAAGAAGGTTGCCGCGCGAGCCCGCGCTTGGCTTGCCTCATACCCTCCAGTGACTCCTCACGTATCCCCCTTCGAATATTGATGGCGAGGTTCCTCCTCGAGCATGATCAAGAGAGCCCCTGGCCCAGGGAAACCTTCAGGTAGGCGTCGAAGGGGTGACTCGCACGTCGAAGCGATCGCGTAGTAGGGATATGGCACCCAGGCAAGCAAACCCTTCCGGATGCAGAACCGCGGGCGACAAAGTTGCTAACCATCCCCGGTTCGCACACCATTGCTGCTCTTTGGTCGGATCATGTTTTCGTACCTTGGTCTCCAGGCAGCTGTCAACATGGATATTCCTGGCTTCGTCTGAGAGAAGGAGCTGGCGGACGCCGCGAAAGGAACTATTGACCAGGGTACAGATTCTTACAGATTGCTACCCACGTGCCCTGTCGGCGGCAGTGGCCGCCTGCGGCCTGCCTGGCCGCGGAGGCGGGCGGCGTCGGGGGCCCCGCGATTGGCCAGGCTGGCCTGCGCAGTGGCGGCTGCTTCGGACGTGCCCCCCGGGGGTTCTGGGAGTCTAGGCCTCCGAGATGGGGTCGGAGTAGATGGGGTCCGAGGATCGCGCCGCACCGCCGATGCATCGCCGATGCGGCTCGATGTGGAGCCCGATTTGCTTCGCGTCGACGTCGCCGATGCCTCGCCGACATCGGCGACGCGTCGCCGGCGCAGTGCCGACGCATCGGCGATGCATCGCCGACGTGTCGGCGATGCGGCGCGATGCGATCCTCGGACCCCATCTACTCCGACCCCATCTGGGAGGCCTAGACTCACTCCCAGAACCCCCGGGGGGCACGTCCGAGGCAGCCGCCACTGCGCAGGCCCGCCTGGCCAATCGCGGGGCCCCCGACGCCGCCCGCCTCCGCGGCCAGGCCGCAGGCGGCCACTCCGCCCACCTGGGAGGCCTCTGGGGAGACCTTCTCCGAGCGGCGCGAGCTGCTGCCGCCCGCGCCCCTCCCCGACGGCGGCCTGCGCGGGCCCCAGCCAGCCCGCCCCTCGGGCGCCCGCGGAGCTGCCGCCGCCCCGCGCCGCGCGGGGGCGGCCCGGGGCGCTGCAGCAGCGTCCGCCACTGGGCTGCTCGGCGGCCCCGTGCTCGCGGGGTTTCGCGCGGGCCGCCCCGAGCGGAGCTCGGAGGTGGATCGGCCTCCTATCCTGCCACGTCGAGTAAAGAATTGGCCGCGTTCGGTTCGCGAGGGGGCGTCGCGGCCGTCATCTTTGCGGGTCCAGGTCCGTCGGTTTCGGTCCCAGGCCGTTTTTGACTAAGGGGAGGTTTACTAAAGGGAGGTTTGTCCACCGCCGATGATCCTCTATGTTTTTTGCGGAGCCCTCCCCCCGAAGGTGCCGTCAACGAATTGCACGAGGCTGGGGGGGGGGGGTTCTCGAACGTCGCCGCTGCTGCCGCCGCAGCGGCACGGGCCGCGGCGGAATGTTAGGCTTCCGAGTGGGCAAGTCCACCTTGCAGCCCAGCGGATCTGGCCATCGATTTCTCGTACCGTTCAGCTGCTTTCTCGAGATCGAGGAGATGTTTTTCAGCTTCCTTCCCCTCTTCTTGGGTTGAAGACGACGTCGCCGTTGCTGCAATTAGTCGGCCCGGCCTTGCCGCTTCGTATCGATGCTCTTGCGCTTGAAGGCTGTGCTCTCGGCCTCCGCGAGATCTCCTAGCGCTGAAATGTACTGCTTGCCGCTGATGCCGGCCGTCTTCTTCCAGAAGATGATTGCCTGGAGACAGGTTTGCACCTCGTCATTCTAACGGGCGTTTGTGTTGGACTGCTCCACGACCTCCGCGCTGGCATCGCCGCTGGCGTAACGCCGGTCCCGTATGTTGCGAGACATGTAATTCCGTTTGGAGTGGCTGCCATGATCCGATCGAAGCGCGGCATTTTTGAGTTGGCTGGCGCGCGGGGGGATTTTCTGGCACATGAACTACAGTGCCGTTTTTAGTACATGCTCCGCGTGCGGATCATGTATTAAAAATGCAGGGATTTAGTACTGAAAACAACGATGAGTTCATGCATATATATTTATTCATACATGGACCATGTATAAAAATCCCATATGTATATATATATTGTTTGTTTTTGTTTTTTGTATAAAAAACCATGTATTCAACATTGCCCTGTACAGAATTGGTGGCTCCCAGCTCCACGCCATGTCCAGCCGGGGCAGCCAGAGACAGAGCAACAGAGGTGTGGGTCGCTGTTCCACTTCGACCTCATGCCAGGTGTTGGCCGAGTGCCGCGGCGGCCAGCAGAGCGAAGGAGGCGCGACTCACGACAGCGAGAGCGGATCGGGTGCCCCGGGCGAGGCCGCCGACTGGAGCACCCGAGAGAGAGAGAGAGAGAGAGAATTCTGGCCGAGGCTGCCAGGCCTGGGGGAGGGGCTGCCCTCCCACCCTGGCCTCGGGCCCCAGGGGGCGCGGCGGAAGGTGAGCTCCGTCTGGAGCAGAAATGGCTACGCATGGGACGGCGAGGAGGAGGAGGGGGAGGAGGAGGAACAGTGAGGAACGAGGAGGAGGAGGAGGAGCAGGAGGAGGAGCGGGAGGAGGAGGCGGAGGAGGAGGAGGATGGGGGAACAAGGAGGAACCTGGAGCAGAAGGAGGAGGCGGAGGAGGAGGAGGATCGAAGAGCGAGGAGGAGCGGGCGAGCGAAGCGCAGCGAGCCAGCGAGGACGGGTGGCGCGGCGTGTTGGTGCGGGACGCGTCCGTGGGCTTCCGCTTCGAGGATTGCCTCGACGCCTGCGCCCCGGCGCGGGGGCCCTGACCCCGGGGGCGGTGGCCGCTGAGCCGCCTTCCTTCGTTCCTCCATCCTTCCTCCTCCTTCATCGCTCCTCTCCTTCTTCTCCTCCTCCTGCTCCTCCTCCTCCTCCGCCTCCTCCTCCACCTCCTCCTCCTCCTCTCCCTCCCACTCCCCCTAGGTGTGCCCTACTCCTTCACTACCTCGTCCCTCAAGCTGATCAAGAAAATGTTGCGTGAGGGCGTGGTCCGACAACTGTGCCGCCTTTCGGGCGAGAAGCTCGGGCTCGGCGCCAGGCTGTGCTATGATTATGTGATCCGTGACCTCAGCAGCTCCAAGTTTAAGCCGTTGGAGAAGGGCTCGATAAGAGCTAATGTGTGCGGGGCTTGCTGGATCAAATAGAGAGCCGTCCAGTGTGGGTACCAACTCCAGGACACGTGTTGTGCTTTGTGCCAGGGGCCCTCGGACTCGGTATTTCATCGGCTTTGGGGTTTGTCCTGATCCAGAGGTCGCGGAGCTCAGACAGGAGATTGTAGACAGGTTTGTGTTGGAGGCCGCCCAGGAGTTAGACCACGCGTCGTGCTCCATGGAGGACTGGCTTTTCATCACCACGGGCCTCTTCCCCCACCCAGGCGATGTCCACCCTCGCCCCGTCCAGGAGGTCGCCCCGACTGTCGTCTGGGAGGGCGACCCTGAGCACCCCGACGAGCAGTTGTTCTCTGGAGGTTCGGTATTCATGGATGGGTCCTGTGAGAAGCATGTAGTTAAGGAATTAAGCAGGGAAGGATGGGGTTTAGCGGTTTATGATTCTCAGCAGGTTTTGAAACTCCGAATGTGGTCTCCCCTTTGGGATCGTTCCCCCCAGACCCCACAGTCTGCGGAATTTGGGGTTTTAGCCTACTCGTGTCTCTGCATCACGGACCCTGCATTCGGGTTCTCGGATTGTCTCAATGTTTGTATGGCCTTTTACGCCCGACCGTTTTAAGAAGCAGTCGCACCAAAGACCTTACGAGGGCCTCATGAATCATGCCCTGGGGTACCGTCTTTCTGACGTGTTGAAGGATAAGGTCCATGTGGCCGACTCGGAGGGCCCTTCCCCCGAAGAGCGGTTTTTTTTACAAAAAATGTTTTTGTTTTTTTTGTTTAATAAAAATTGGCAATGACGAGGCTGATCGCTCAGCCAAGCTTGGGGCCGCGGCGCACCCCAAGCCCTCTTTCTCAAGCCGACAAAGCTGCAGTGGCAGCTGAAGATCTCCCGCATTGTCTCGCGTCTGGCCGCCAAAGTGCTCGTTTCATGGCCGCGCCTGGACCTTTCTGATGTTCCCTTCATTGCATCTCCCCGCCCCCCCCGTCCAGGGGCCGAGGTGCCCGAGGGGGTGCACATATGGGTGTGGGTCAAAACGCTTTGGAGGTGCAGTCGATGTCTCAGATTTCGTCGGCAAGCAGCGCGTCCCGCAGACGAGGGCTGCGCCGGTGACTTGCCCCCAGTTGCGCGTTCTGTCGCTGATCGAGGCCACTCCTGTCTTTCATTGGAGTGTGCGAGCGATCAGATCTTGATTATTCGCACCCGTTGCAAAACGTTTTCGGCCCTCGGCCAATTTAAGCAGCTCCGCAATGAATGAACACGTCCACTCGCCAAAGCGGCGGAGTATTGGTCCAGGGTTAGTCAAGCGGGGCTGGCATCCGAAGGGGAAGCTTCGGGTGGAAGCGGCCCCCATCAGAGAGTGAAGCTGGTGGGGCAGGGCGTCCGTCAAGACTCCCATTCCTCTTCCTCCTCCTCCTCCTCCTCCTCCTTCTCCTCCTCCTCCTGATCATCATCATCATCCCTCCGCCGCCCTGACCCTGGGGGCCCTGGCCGCTGGCCGCCTCTACTGCGAGCGCGGTGGCCTGCTTTCTCTCCTCGGGACGGAGGGGCGCCGAGGGGGGGACAGGAGAGGCGAAGGCCCGAGGTTCGGAGGAGGAATGCAGAGGAGGCCCATGCCAAGAAACGCCCTGCTTGCCTCCAGGGGGCCCTGGGGTTCCTTGGGCGCTTCGAGGGGTCTGCCGTGGAAGGCGTGACGCGTCCCCGCACTGGAAAGTCGGTGGGCGTCCTGGGGTCTCAGGGTCGGGTTTCTTGTGGAAGGTTTCTTGTGGTCGGGCCCCCACTGTATGCTTGGAAGGCTGCCTCGACGCCAATAACCCCGCGGCGGCCCTGGCCAGGGACTCGGTGGCCGCTGGCCGCCTCCATTGCGCGCGCGGGGGCCTGCCCTCGTCTCGGGGCGGAGGAGCGTCGAGGGGGAGAGGCGGGGCCCCGAGGCTCGGAGGAGGAATTCAGTCAGCCCGCACAATGAGGATGGGCGACCTTCCCAAGGTTACCCTTGCATCCTTGCCTCCTCGGTCGGTCCTTGGACACTTTCGTTGGCCGCGCTGCGCTCGACGAGCTTCGAAATGGGCGCCCAAGGCCTTGCACCCTTATCGCGCATCCTTATGATACGGGCCGCCTGTAGATACCGAAGCCGTTGCTCGTCCTGGACAGCCCTCGTCGCCGCGGCCAGGTCCTCCTCGAGATCAGGGCCAGGACGCACTCTAGGAGAGGCCCGTGGAGTATAGGCTGGCGTGGGGGCCCACCGAAGAAGGTGCTGGGAGCCGCGCGTGGTCTGCACGAAATGCTCTGGGAACATGTTTGGTTGAGACCGTGCTGCTGAAACCAAGGTGCTGCGTGTTCTGGGCACGTTTCGTAGGGCGCCGGAAGATTCTTCAGTTCTGACCGTACTTCGTGCTGGGCTGAAGTCGGGCATGTCCCTCTACAGGAGGAATCTTCAAAAATAGCCAACAGAAAGTCTGGGGACGATGTTGCAGGACGTTGCCTATGTTTGAGCATGTGTTGACGATGCCTGGTTTTTCGTCCAGCATCCGCCTGTAAGGGGGCATGCTTTTCCGCCTCGTTTTCCTCCTCCTCCTCCTCCTCCTCCTCGTCCTCCTCCTCCTCCTCCGACGACGACGACGACAACAACGACGACGACGCCCGCGGCGCCGAGGCCCACGACGACAACGTCCTCGTTTTCCTTCCTCCCATTGCTCCACTTGGCCCTTTTTTCTCCTCCTCCTCATCCTCTTGCCCTTCTCCTCGTCCCTCAGAGGGATGTCAGAGGGGATTGCCTCATGCTAGGCCTACATCGAGCTGCCGGGAGGGTCGGCCCCTGCCCAAGGGGGGAGGGCTCCGACGCTGCGAGGGCCGAGGAGGGTCGGGGGCAGCGGTGTGCAGCGTCCGGGCGGGATCGGCTCCGGGGGGGAAGGCGTCGACCCCTCAGTCCTCCCCCTCCCTCCTCCCTCCACCCTCCTCCTCCTCCTCCTCCTCCCTCCTCCCCCTCCTCCTCCTCCTCCTCCTCCCACCTTCCTCCCTCCTCCTCCTCCTCCTCCTCCGCCTCCTCCTCCCCCTCCTCTTTCTCCTCCTTCTCCTCCTCCTCCACCTCCCCCTCCCCCTCCCAGTCGCTGAAGGATCGCCGACAGAGGTCCGACATCCCACCCCTCCCAGGGCCCGACGTGGCGGGGATCGACGAGGTCGATGACAGCGTCGGGGGGTGGCACAGTCGAGACTGATCAGCATGTCGACCCTGCCGAATCAAGGGTACCTTAGTGTCCCGTGTGTCACGACCAATGGTTTCTGCGTTCCTGTGTCATCGGCGTCACCCCAGCTTACTTCTACTATATGCGCGTCGCCCCCCCCCCCCAGTGGCGACGCGCGCACCGAGACATTTTCTAACACAAGCGGCGTGGCGGGCGCTTTCTGGCCACACCGCTCGGGAAACGACACACTACAAGGTGGGTATACGACTACATGCTCGGGTCGGACGCGCGCCTCCAAGGTGGACATACAGTATTTGTATGTCTCTGTGCGTCCCATGGCAGTGAGGCCCTCGAGAGGGTCGTGGGTCCTCTCGCGTGTCCTCGCCTGTCAGGCTCGACTGCAGGCTCGGGAGGGGGCACGCGTCGACCGCTGGTCTCCCATGGATCGCTGTATTGGTCAAGTCGGGGCTGTCCCTCTACACGGGGAATCTTCAAACATAGTCAATAGAATAGTCTGGGGATGATTGTTTGACAATGTGCTGCTACTTTGAATATGTTTGGGGATATGTTTATTTTTCGTCAAAACTCCCCTGTAGGGGGACATGCCCGATCTACTGCTAGGGACCTTCGAAGGCCCACCTCACCCAGGAACGCGCGGCACCGCTATCGTCGGGGGCCTGTCGCCGAGCCATCACCGATGTACATTGGAGGCTCATGCCGAGACGCGCCCTGCTCGCCTCCAGGGTGCCTTGGGCTCCTTGGGCTTCGAGGGTTCTGCGATGGAAAGCGTGACGCTTCCCACACCAAAGATCAATGGACGTCGTGGGGTCTCAGGGTGGTGTTTCTTGTGCAGGGTTTTTTAAGGACTGGCCTCCATTACATCGCCGATGTCAGCGCTCGATGTCTCCCCCTCGCAGCCAGCCTCCCGCGAACGTCTCGCCTGAGAGAGGAACAGGAGTCAGAAATGTCGGCGGCGCGCACAGGGGGGTGGCGCGATGGGACTCGGCGTTGCGAGGATCCACGAGGAGGAGGAGGACTTAAATATGAATATTTCCCGTCGCTCGCCGAACATCAGTTTATGTGAAATGCTCAAGGTGTGCGTAAACATGGCACTGAGTTGGGATGCGAAAGGTTCTCCCTGCTCCTCCTCCTCCCTCCTCCTCCCTCCTCCCTCCCTCCTTCCTCCTCCGCCCTCCTCCCCCTCCTCTTCCTCCTCATCCTCCTCCTCTTCCTCCTCCTCCTCCTCCTCCTCCCCCTCATCCTCCTCCTCTTCCTCCTCCTCCCCCTCCCTCGTGCAAGACAACTGCATGAGTATTCACTGTCGGAGGTCTGCGCGGATGTCCTGGATCGACGCTGGCGCCCCCTGATGGCGCTTCCAGCGCCGGCCCTGGCGCGCTCGGGGCTCCCAGCACCAGTTCAGGACCACCGCGCGGGCCTCCAGCAGATGATGTTTCTGCCATATGTTGCTCCTCTACTCATTCCTCCATCCTTTCTTCGTTCCTCCATCCTCCCTCCTCCATCCCTCCTCTCGTCCTCCTCCTCCTCCTCCTCCTCCTCCTCCTCGTCCTCCTCTTTCTCCTGCTCTTCCTCCTGCTCCTCTCCTCCTCTTCCTCCTCTCCTCCTCTTCCTCCTCCTCCCTGCTCCTCCCCCCCCCCTCTTCTCCATTTCTCCCTCCTCCTCCTCCTCCTCCCCGCCTTCTCTTCCTTCCTCCTCCTCCTCCTCCTCCTCCTCCTCCTCCTCCTCCTCCTCCTCCTCCTCCTCCTCCTCCTCCTCCTCCTCCCTCCTCCCTCCTCCCTCTTCCTTCCTCCCTCCATCCCCCTCCCTCTCCTGCAGCGGCAGGAGGCCGGCAGGCAGCGTGGCGTTGGCGCAGCTCCTTCTCCTCCCGCATCCGCCCGCAGGCCGCTCTTGGCGCGAGCCCGCCCGCCCAGGCCTCGGACTGCCCGCGGGCGGTGGGGGGGGGCCCGCCGCCCCCGCCGCGCGCCCCCCATGGCGGACGGGCCGCGCCCGATCCCGGTGAACACCCCGAAGTTCTGGGGCGGCGAGAAGGAGCCCGCGCGGCGGGGGGGGGCTCCTCGCCTTCCTGCTGCTTCCTCTCCTCGCCCTTCCTCCTCCCTTTCCTCCTCCTCCCCTTCCTCCTCCGCCCTCTCCTCCTCCTACCCTTCCTCCGCCTCGCCTTCCTGCTGCTCCCCCTCTCCTCGCCCTCCCCATCTTCTCGTCCTCCCCGTCTGCTCGTCCTCCTCGTCTCGCCCTCCCCTTGCCGTTGTCGTCCTCCTCTTCTCGTCCTCCTCGGGTTCCTCCCTGCTCCTCTCCGCGTCCTCTTCTCCTCCGCGCACCGGGCGCGCGTGAGCGATCCTCTCTGCTCTGGCAGAGGGAGGAGAAGCGCAGCCTGACGCATGCAGTTGTCTTGGGGTGTCTTACTTGCGAAAAGAAAATGCTGCGCTTCGTGGCGTGGACACAGGAACGTGTACGCGCGTTGTGGAACGGAGCGCTGGTATTCAGGGATCGCGCAGCGATGTTGGCGATGCCGTGTGGTGAGCATCACCAAAATCATGCTTATGATTTGAGTAAAACAAAACAGCCAGGTCTTGAAGAGCTCGCTGCCGGAACTGTGTGCGTGCAGCTCAGGCGAAGTGTTGTTCGACCCATGATATCGAATGTCTTGTCGTTGTGATGCTGAAATGGAGGTGACCACGATATCGCCCTCGGAGCGGCTTCCCGTCCAGAGCGCCCGTGAGGGGGCCGGACGGTCTTATACAGTCTCTGGGTGTTGGCACACCGGCGTGTCATGACATCGGCGTGCCACACCAGCGAGTCATGACACCCGTCATAACGATGGAAGTACACGGCAAGATCTCATGCGGAGGGTCAAGCCTTTAATGGATCGGCGCTGGATTAGGACCCCATGGTGCGTATCCTGGGCGCACCAGCGTATCATAGCATTGGTTTGTCACACTGGAGTTTCATGATACCCATCGTCATGATGATGTTCCTGCGGCCATGCGCGACTTGATGCGCATGTGGAGGGCCAGCGTTCAATGTGTACCCGTCACTCTGCCACACCACCGTGCAGTCATCATCATGATGATGTCCTTGCTGTGGCGACACGCTCGGAACATACTATCGCTTGATCTGGGCTGCGGAAGGCGCCAGCGTCCTTGATAGTTTGTCGTTCGGTAGAGGCCCAGTGGGTCGCGCGCTTGGTGGGGGATGACGGTGCTTGCAGCTCAGGCGTAGTGCTGTTCGACCCACGAAACATGGTGCCGTGCCGTTGCGGCACCGAAGTGGGAATCACCACGAAATCCCCGTGTGAACCGCTTTCCGTCCAAAGGCCAATGAGGAGGCCAAACAGTCTTGCACACGTAGTTCCTGGGATGGGTGCTGAATGAGGACCCCATGGCGGGCGCATCGTCTGGGCACACCAGCGCGTCATGACATTCATCATCATGAAGATGCTCCTGCTGCGACGACACATGCGGAACATGCAAGCGCTTCCATGGGGGCCCGCAGATCGCCGGAGTCCGTGGATATGTTGCGCCTTGGGCAGAGACCCAACGGATCACCACGCGTGCGCCAGGAGCCCATCTCCGCCTCCCACTTCGTCCCACCTCGCTCCTCCCCTCGTCTCTGACCCTCTCCTCCCCCCTCCGTTCCTCCCTCCCTCCCTTCCCTCCATTTCCTTCTCCTCCCTCCCCTGGACCTGTGCAGCGGACACGGTGGGCGCGAGACGCTTGCGACCCATCGGCCGATGCCACGTACCACGCCTTTCGGATGCCAGTGGACCCCCCCCTCGTCGAGCGAAACGGGGCTCCCCATCCTCCTACACATCCTCCTCCTTCCTTTCCTCCTCCTCGTCGTCGTCCTCCTCCTCCCCCTCCTTTTTCTCTCTCCTCCTACCCCCTCCCCGCCGCCCCTCTCTCTCTCCATCCTCCGCCTCCTGCCTTCCTTGTCGGACGCGGGCTTCCGAAATGTTCAGTCGAACCAAGCGGGGGTCCCTCGTGGCTATGTCCGCCCCGCCCTCGAGCGCTGCCTCCCCTGAAGCGAGGAGGAGGAGGAACGATGGAGGGGTGGGCGCGTGTGTTACGGGCCGAGGAATGAGGACGAGGAGGAGGAAAAGGAGGAGGAGGAGGAGGAGGAGAAGGTGGAGTAGGAGGAGGAGGGCAGGATGAGGAGGAAACATGGGGGTGCGGAAGCGAAGGAGGGGATACGAGGAGCAAGGATGAGGAGAGACACGAGAAGGAAGTGCTTGGGATCGAAGGGTGGTCATAGTGATGATGTTGTTGATGCGAATGAGGAGCAGGAGGAGGAGGAGGAGGAGCCGCAGGAGTAGGAGGAGGACGTATGGGTTGGCAAGGAGGTTGAGAAGTAAAGTTATGTATCGCTTCGGAAGAGAAGGACATGATGAGGAAAGGGCTGAGGACAGAGAAGACATACAGTGGGAAGAACCGGAGGGTCGCTACGCAGGTCTTTTCGCGGGCAGCGGCTCTCAGGGGGTGTTGCTGTTTGCTGCGAATTCTGGGGGGGCGTGTCAGCTTCCGTGCGTGCGTGCGTGCGTGCGTGCGTGCGTGCGTGCGTGCGTGCGTGCGTGTGTGTGTGTGTGTGAGTGAGTGAGTGAGTGAGTGAGTGAGTGAGTGAGTGTGCGTGTGCGTGTGTGTGTGTACGTGTGCACACGTGTGCACGTGTGTGCATGTGTGTGCGTGCGTGCGCGCGTGCGTACGTGCGTGCGTGCGTGCGTGTGTGTGTACTTGTGTGTGCTTGTGTGTGTATGTGTGTATGGGTGGGTGGGTTTGGGTGTGGGTGTGGGGGGGGGATCTGTGACGTTTCTGCGAGGCCGTGAGTGAGCTCGATGGCGGAAAGGAGGCGACAAGGAGGGGGAGGAGGTAGGGCCCCTCGGGGCCCATGTCGATCCGTTCGATCCTGGTCGGTGTCGATCAGGAGGGGAAGAAACACACAGACACAATTAATCGTCGATCCCCCAGAACATATGGGAAAATATAGGTAGTGGGGGGGAATACAACAACCAAAAAATATAAGAAAATATGGGGAGTAGTTTTATTTGTGTGTATTTATTTGTGTGTCCTCGGGCCCCTTCAGTCGACTCCCGCCGGCCGGATTCTGTTCTGCTTGGGCGTCGCGCAGTAGAGCTGCAGAGGAGAGGCCTTTCAGGGCCCCTGAAGGAGCCCTTTCGGTCCCAAAAGAGGGGCTGAAGGGACCGAGAAGTGCACCTTTCTCCCCCCCAGTTGATCGCCCCGCAGTTAAGCGACGCCCAATCGCATGTGCCGGCGAGCCGATGCGGCGCGATGCCTGCGTGGCTCTGTTGTGCATCCTGGCGCGGCCGGTCCGATTCGATGCCGACTCCGTGCCGACGCAACCCGATTCGATGTACATATCTTGGGGGACCACGTGCGAACCCTACCCCTGCCCCCCACGATTTCTGAGGGGGAGGGTGGGGTTCACTACGTTCTGGAGCTTCCGAGCGAAGTGAACCCCACCCTTCCCCTCAGAAATCGTAGGGGGTTGGGTTAAGCCGGGCCTGCCCCTCTACAGTTAAGTCGGGCCTGTCCCTCTACAGGAGGAATATTCAAAATAGTAATAAAATAGCCTGGGGACGATTTTTCGATTGTTTTTGTTTATTTGGTGTAAATTGTTCGAGTATATTTTTTTCGCCCGAAATTCCCCTGTAGGGGGACACGCCCGACTTAACTCTACAGGGGGGATGTTCAAAAATAGTCCAAACATAGTCCGGGGACGATAACATGAGTTTTTTTTGGGGTATGTTTTGAATATGTTTTGACTATGTTTAGTTTTCGTCCAAAGTCTGCCTGTAGGGGGACATGCCTTACCAAAGGGTATGGGTAGGATTAGCATGTGGCCCCCTACATGTCGGTCCGATCCGATTTCTGGAGGTTTTAGCTGATCCTGTCCCCCGCACCCTCCGCCTTCCCGTCGCGGAGGGGCACAGGGTCCGAGTCTGGAGCTGTGGCGGCGTGGCTGGAGATAGAGACTGCCTGTCGCCGCCGTCGCCCTCGCCCTCCTCGGCCCCCTTCATCCCCCTCATTGTGGAGTTCTGGAGGAGGGAGGAGGGAGACGATTGAGGGGAAGGAGGCGGAGGAGGAGGAGGAGGAGGCGGAGGAGGCGGAGGAGGAGGCGGAGGAGGCGGAGGAGGAGGAGGAGGGGGGAGGAGGAGGGGGGTAGAGGGGGAAGGAGGGGGGAGGATGCTAAGCCGGCTATCTAAGCGTCTCAAACATCCGGTGGCGGACGCGAAAAGTGCGAAAAGTGGGAAAGTGCGAAAAGTGCGAAAAGTGAGAACAGTAGAAAAGTAGAAATTGCGAAAAGTATGGAAAAGTGTGACAAAATGCGAAAAGTAGAAGAATAGAAAAGCGCGAAAAGTACGACAAGTGCGAAAAGTAGAAGAAAAGTCGAAAAGTGAGACAAGTGCGACAAGTTCGAAAAGCGCGAAAAAAGTAGGAAAGTGTGAAAAGTAGAAAAGCGCGAAAAGTGCGAACGTACGAAAAGTAGAAAAGCGCGAAAAGTAGACAAGCAGAAAAGTGCGAAAATGTACAAACAAGTGTGAGAAGGACGAAAGGTGCGAGAAGCACGAAGCAACACAGTGCAACAAGTTGAGAAACGCTAACAGGTGCGAAAAACAAGAAAGTCGAACCCTGACAAAACGGGGAACGTGCTTTTGACACTTGCGATAAGAACGACAGGCAGCAAAGCGGGACTTGCGCGATAAGAGCGAACGTGGAATGAGAAACGCTTTGGGAAGGAACCTCATGTTTAACAGCGCGCAGCGCGAGAGGCAGGACAAGTTCGAATCGCGCGAATGGTTCAACAGATTCTAAAAGAAAAACAAAGGAGCGGCAGGAGGGGCAGGAAGATGAGGCGGGGCCGTGTTCCACATGTGTTTTTCCTGCGTTTCGCTTGTCCTCGCGTGGAGCACGCTTGTTTTTCTTGTCTCGGCTTTGAATTAAGTTTTTCGCAATAGTTGCCGAGCGCGTTCAAACACCTCGATCCGCCATCCTCGAACCTCGATCTTCCAAGTGGTT